ATGTGCATCCCACAAATCTCCATCAACTGCAAGATGCTATCCTATCAATATGGGCCAACGTTTCTAAAGAATGCTTTCAGCACCTTGTTGAATCAATGCCACGTAGAATTAAGGCAGTTCTGAAGGCGAAAGGGGGTCAAACACCGTATTAGTATGGTGTTCCTAATAATCCTTTAGGTGAGTGTATATCTGGTCACTAATTTGCAAAGAAGCACCACAAAAATAAGTAATAATCCAGATGGCTACCGGTCTCCTTCTACCGGGCAGAAGTACAGTTACAGTCTGCAAAAAAAGTCCTATTAGGGATTCATACGTACAGGAAGATGTTTGCACTTGAGTTGGTTCCTGTTCCATTCGCTTCTTCTCAGACACACGGGAACCAAACTTCTCGTAATAGTGACCAATGACAGAACCTCTCGTAACTCCCACACACCATCGGATTTTTTTTTCCTACTAAAAAAAAATGATCATTATTAGATTAGGTTAACAGACATTTTTTTTATCGCCCACCTTTCGACGTGTACGAAAGAGCTCTTTGTTTACAAAATGCCACAATCTGACATTTGTCATTTTGCAGAAATATCGCCTCAGCCTTTGCATATTTATGATGTTCTCAAAGTTGAACCCTCCAATGGAACTCAGGGCTCTCCTACATATTTTCCAAATAGCAGATAAAGAATAAAAGCATTTTATGCTCTTCTTTTGTGACTTCCACAGTTCCATGCCCTACAAAGCTTCTGTGTGTGTTGGGGGGGAATTCTTTCCTGTCATTGTCAGCACATACAAGAAATATAAGACTGAGAAATTTAGCTGCCCACCTCTCTTGAGAGGAGGCAACACTTTGTGCAGTGCGTGCAGTGCTCACCTGTGGTCACTGGCAGCTGGAGATGTGCCTGCTGTCTATTGGTATGGGCCTGACTGGTATCACTTACCTGCTTACCTGCCTTGCAGGGGGTGTGTGGCTCTGTGGGTTTGGATACTGTGCCTCTGATCAGAAGGTTGCCAGTTCAAATCCCTGGGTCAGCAAAGTGATGTCACCTTTGTGCCCTTCAAGAAAGGCCCCTAACCACTAATTCTCTCAAGCACTGGCTAACCCTGCTTAGTCAGCTGCACATGGATTTGGATAAAAGCGTCTGTTAATTAAATAAAAGGCTAATTCAATCAACTACACCCCTTGCCTTTCTGTGAATTGCAGTGGCCTTCTGGTTGCTGGGTCAGACCACAGGGTAGCAGGTTTGTATTGTGCACCCAAGGTTCACTGGCAGTGTAAGGGAGATCACACTGCACAGTTCATGTTTGATTTTGTGGGGTTTTGTGTAGGCGGCGCTCTTTGAACTTTGGCAAAGTGTCACTGCCAACACAGTCCTTTTGTGAAGTAACGTGGGACTTGAAAGGTCAGAGCAAACACTCAGTGTGAAACCCCATTCCCTGCCCCCCCCCCCCAAAGGCCCAGATTACCTGAAAATCCTCCAAAGCTCTGTGGAAGCTTCCTCTTTGGGAATATAGAGTTCAGTGTTAGGACCTAAAACCAATCACCATCCTAAGTTCTGGAACTTTCTGCAGACAAACACTTAAATGCATAGTGATTCATTGCAACTTAATTGGTTTGTCCAGCCCATTAAATAAAATGTTGATAACTCATGAGAACAAACTCCTGTGTAGTCTTAGCAGATACAAATACGTATTACTTTTTACACATTTTGTCTTTTGCTATTAGGCAAACCAGACGGCAATAAAACACCAAAACACTACAACTAAGCAAACTGGTCGTCAATCGCTCTTTGCGGGATTTCTGGCACTGCACTTGACAGTCTGTAGGAGCGGAGCGGGGCGGGCACAGGGGGGCGGCTTGGCCCCGTCCCGTACTGTACACCACTTCGCTGTGAACTTCAGAGTGCGCGCTCCCAGGAACCAGGAGCGCACTGAAGGGACGCCGGAGGACTTTCTCGGATTTTTAATCCTTATAAGTGCATGAGGAGTTTCAGCTTCGGGGAAATTCGAGGAGACGGCTGGCACAGTCGCACGTAAGTGCACATCAGTGTTTTTCATTAAACTAACCCACTTTCACTGTCTGTTTAGATGTTTGAGTCTTATCCTTGTTTGTGATAATTCAGCACCGCGCACGTGGTATGATATAATATGTGTAGTATATAAAACAGTATATTTCAAATGCCGAATTATGTGTTTCATCCCAATCGGTAAAAACACCTAAAACATTCTGTAATTCCATTAGAAACAGTAGGTGAACAGCTTACTTTTTTACATTAGCTTTAGGATACCGACAGAATTCTGCAACTCAGAAAACCAGTACGGACTTGAACCAGTCGCCCCAAGCTACATACATTTTAATGTCAGATAAGTTATTCCATGTTTTTCTAAATCAGTCTGGAAAGTACTCACGGAAGCGCCTTCTCCAATTACCGAAAATACTACAGTTCTTTAGTTATTCATTCCTTTTTTATTATTACACTTACTGATTAAATTATTTTAAATTGTCAATACCTTTGATTGGGAGAACCACTGATGGTTATGGGGTTTCTAAAAATCAGACCCGCCTGCGTAATGAATGTGTTCATATCAGACCTGCAAGGCGACCAAAGGACGTGGCAATTACAACAGGAATTTGTTATATGCCGTGAGTTTCCGAAAGATGGATGCAAACTACGCGTCACCGCATTCAGCGCCTTTACGCATCTGGTTGTGCTTTAAAAATGTGCGGATACCAACCCAACTTTCTGCTCATAGTGACCTGACAGATGCATTGTTTTTAAAATGCCGCTGATCTTTCTGTGGTCACCTTTGTTTACGTTTCGTTTCTATGACACGGTTGTAGTTGAAAGTTGGATGTTTAAGCCCTTTAATTTTAGCGCTCAGTTACAGACTTGGTATACAGGTGTTTGATACAGCGGGAGGTATCCAGGAGAGAATGTAAATGTTTACTTTACCCAATAGGTCTGCGCCCTCGTCTCCCCAAACTATGGTACGTATTACCCTCTGTGAATACAGTGGCCTTTCTGCCATGGCTCCAGCAATCAGCCGGCACCTACGTATCCATCGCTTCTCAGTCATTTTATCAAAACTCTTGTACCGTCTGAAACTCTGCGTTACTAAATGCACGGTTTGATTTGCTTTGCTGCTTGAAATGGGTGATCTGGAAAACAAGCACTTATTCCAAACCTCAATGCCATGTTCGTACAAACCCTGCAGGGGGAAATTGTGCTGTTTTCTTAATTTAATTGTTTTTGGAAGGATTATCTGTAGACAAAACCAAACAAATGTGAACTTGATGGTCTGCCCCGTGGAAAGAGTTTACGCTGAAACTTGCGGCTTACAGCTGCGGTTGGTTGAGAAGCACTGTGTGATAAATACTATAGAACCTAACATGACCATAACAGATAATGCATGTGGTGGTTCCTGACTCGAGGGGGGGTTGAACTTATGAGATGCATGATGCATGGAGAGCATCTGTGATTTTTTTATGTATTATTTAAGGGCTTTGCTGCAACTTTGCCTGGATGGGCACCAAATTCATCTAAAATGAATATAGTCATTGTGTTTTATTTTTAAAATGTTTTATGTCATTGTGAGTTTGATGTATATTTTAGAGGAAAAAAAACATCTGACCCAAGGTTTAAGACCCTGACTAGTTAATCATGTAACATTTTTCAGAAATGTCAGTGAACCCGGCTTGCATGTTTTGTTGGGTTTTATTGAGCAGTTGGGGATTAAAAATAAACCGCTGAAAAATATACAGATAAATGAGCGATAGTCATCGGTCTGACGTCCTGTCTCAGCTAACCAGTGCCTGTCACATTCAGTTATAACCAAGTTGAAGTTGAATGAATGTGAACATGAATGTGCAGGTGGCACCAACTTTGGTAGAGCAGTTCCTCAGCATCATTAAATAATGACGTTTATGTGGACATTTTCATTACATTTTTCTGCACAGAAGCTCCTTTTCTGTTTTTATTAAGGGTTCTTTACTCTTTGTGCGTTGTGGTCAATCTTTCCCGAGACTGTGGCAGGAAATCTTCTTGTTGGCCTGTCTGTCCATTGTGGACCTTAAAAGGCACCTATGATTTATTGACAAATAACCTTAATTCAGTTTGCCCTGGTGCTATTTTCCTCCCTACAATAAGGAGCAAATTCCTAAATGTCTCCAAACAACTCATCCCCATTCAAAAGGAAGCAAGGAAAGGGCAGATATGAATGCTTAAAGGAGGATTATCCGGCATTCTGATGAAGCTCTGACAGACGTTTGGCAGGTAGCGCCTTTATTTGGAATTGAGCCCCGTTAGACAATCAAGATGCAGGTCTAATCTAAAGCTGTATGTGTCCTAGCTTGCGCAGAGTCTTTTCTATGGCTGCAGGAGCCTCCAGAGGATATGTGGAGGGTATTGGCTGTCAAAACACAACACCTGGGAAACTGAATATCATTGACATTTAGGCGTTTACACCTGGCCGTCTGGAGCTCATGCATAGTCAGCTGAGATGCGGCCAATCTGGGTGTCATCACATTATGGCGCCTTGAAATGAATAACAGAAAGCTGGGTATCTTGTTACAGAATCCCGGGTTGTTCCTCAGGCTTTGTTGATCCTCTTGTTACTTGAACAGTAAAAATTGAATAGGAAGTGGGGTGAATATTGAGACTTGTGAACAGCAGGATTATAGAATTACCAAGGTGGCTAAGTGCTCTAGCCTAAAGGTCACACAGCAGCAGAAGAACCTTTTAGTCTATGTGGTTTATCGGGGTTTTTACTGGACAGTAGTTGTCTGTGGCATGTCTTGGTAATTGTATATTTTCTAATCGAATTCTTGCGTTACCAGTGTGGCTATGAGGTAGCAATACCTGTATAAGATGTGCACTGTGTATGTTTGTGTGTGGGGGGGGGGCACATTAAAATAACAGGTTTTTATCACATTGTGAGGACATTAAGTGATTAAAAACCTGTTGTTTTGACTTTGTGGGGACCAGCTTTTCGGTCCCCACAAGGGGAAACTTCGATTTTGTAAAAATGCCAAAATTCTTGTATTTAGTTTGGTTACTTATGGTTAAGGTTAGGGCTGCGTAGGGGTTAGGGTTGCCATTGTTGGGATTAGGGTTATGTCCATAGAAATGAATTAACGGGTCCCCACAAAGAATGTACATGAATGAATACAAAAGTGTGTGTGTATATGTGTGCCCACGTGCATACACAGTAGTCACAAAAGTTAGACTGAAGAGCATGCCAAAGACCCAAGTTATGAAACTTTTTGTTTTGTTTAGTATATTTTGCACCTACTTAAATCCATTTTTCTGAGTAACTTTGTCATGAGGCAAAATGGGCTTCTCTGTTGACCAATATAATTGTTGCGCAGATGTAATAATGCGGTGATCACATTTCGGCGTGGACAGGGACCGTCCCAGATCTCAAATGCCTAATAATACAGCAGGTGTCACTAGTCACTTGTGGCCCATTTACAGATGACATTAGGTAATTTGACCTTTAATAATAATGGCCATCATTTAGCTGTTAAACACTGTAATCCCCGAGTGGCAGGAGCCCACATGATCCTTGATGACTGGGATTTCCCCCCCCTGCTTCTGGCGTCCTGCAGGTTGGCTGGGCGTGCGTTGACATGCGTCACCTCTTTTTCTGCAGGTGTGACTGACAAGACGAGAGCCGGACCTCCTCCAGCAGTGCAGCGGAACCAGCCAGACCACCATCATGCAGACCACCATCATGCAGACCACCATCATGTACACAACGTCGCTAGTTACCATCTCCATCGGTAGGGTCTCTAATGAGAGTCACAGAAACACAGGACTCATGTTCCGTATGGTCAGAGCTGCAGCACTGTATACTGGGCTGCCATCTTGCCATTTTTGTTCCTTGGATTTAAAGATCAAAGCATTTCCATGTGGAGATCTGGATTTATTACTGGGGAACAGTGAAGGGGAAAGTCAGAGATCGTTCAGCCAAAATGTAGGGTGCTGGTTGCTCTGTTATCATGAATAACAAAACTACTGTTGAACTTCCAGAAAGGAAAGTGGGGTATGGAGAAAGTGATGGGGATCAGGGGGAATAAACACTCATTATGCATCAGTCAGACAGCGGAGGGGGGGTCTGTCATGTGCCGAGAACCGTGAAGTGGTGAGGTGTGATGTCATGGGCCCAATATGTTCATCTGGGCACATGCTGCACAGTATTTACAGTAGCCCCATTCACATGGACACAATTTTTTCACTTTTAACCCGATTAATTACGGAAACCGATTTAAAAACATCTCATGTAAACGGTTCAAGTAATCAGAGTCGACTGAATCCGTTTAAATTTCGATGGGCATAAAATCCGAAACTGGGGCCAGGTAAGGTGACATTACCGTACATATGTAATTTCATGAAAGACCTCCGACTCGTACGTAGGTTTGCCATCCACTCCTGGTCAGTAAACTCAGTGAGAACTACCGTTTCCCACGAGTGTTTGCTACGGATTCTCATCCACTGGCTCCTGCTCTTAGGCGGAGGAAGGGGGGCTATCAACTCGCTCCCTTAAATAGTGCCAGAGTACCATAAACCGCTAATAACGACTTATCGACAGCACATTTACCAAGAGACACAGAATAGACATTAATGTCAAATCCATGTTTAAAATGAGCCGCAACGGAGGCGGGACTGTTCAGGTAGCCGATGCTGAGGTGAACAAACGAGAGACTTTTTAATCGCGCGACGGAGTCGGGATAAACAAGGAGAATGGAAGCCTCAGAGGTTCAGACGGAGCATTTTCTCCTTTTCTGTACAAGAAAAGTAGCGTACAGTAGGCCTACCACAGCGCTTGTCAAAATAATGTACGGTCAGATTAAATGGCTGGAACATGTAAACGTGGAACAAACGCGGATCTCTGTTTGACGCTCATGTAAACAGTTCGGTTGGGTTCCTTTAATCTGATTAAATTCAATCGGATTGAAAAAAAGTGTCCATGTAAACAGGCTGAGTAATTGTGGGAAGGCTGCCTATGCTCAGAGAAAGAACCAATGGGATTTTAGGTGGGGGGGGGGGGCATGTAATGTTTTGGAGTGTTGGAACTATAGCTGAGGTCCATGCTTATTGAGGATTACAAATGGGGGGAAAAAACTGGAAAGTAATGGTCAGGTGGAAGAGAACCTGTTTGGTCATGTGACTCGAACTCATGGGATGGATTGACAGAGAGTGCCCCTCCCCTCCCCAACATCAAATTCTATAAACCCCAAAAGCAGTCAGCCTCAAAGCATCATGGGGAGGGGATGTAACGCAAGCCTGTCCCATTTCCCACCATCTCTCCAGCATTACTGCTCGCCTGTGGCGTAGAGGCCGACCCGGACGTCCACAAAACCAAGAAGCCGAAACAAGGCGAGTAAACGCCGTGTCCCAGGTCCAGGTTTTCTTGAGGCGCGATGCTCACCTCTCTGTGCCACTTCTCCCCTGCTGCAGTGGTTCCTGCCATAGAGTGTGACTTGAGAGCTGCAGAAGTGAATATCGCAGAATTCATTGCGAAGTGCCCAGCCAGCTGCAGGGAGACAAAGCAGCCGGTGTATGGAACAGGGATCTACGCCTCCATCTCCAGCATCTGCAATGCGGCCATTCACGGGTGAGCCGGGGCCTGGAGGAGTGAGCTTTGAGTGTCAGGGAGTCGGAGCTTCCTGGCAGCAGCGAGCTGGATCTCAGTAGATTGCAGATTATGAGCAGATTAAGGAGATGTTTGTATTGTTGGATTCAAGAAGGACTGATAAGTAGACTTTTGTTCACCAAAACGTCAATATCAAGGAAGTCGCAGCAGCGATAGTAGACTTTGCGTTGACATGCTGTTGTTGGTTTTGCAGGGGCATCATCACCAACTCAGGAGGGAGAGTGATTGTGAAAAAGATGGCAGGTCAGACAGTCTACAAGGGCAGCTTCGCTAACGGGGTGTCGTCCCTGACTTTGCCCAGGCGGAGGGAGTCCTTCATAGTGTCAGGTCAGTCCCCTGCAACTTTATCATCTATGCTGTAGCAGACAGTTGTACCCCAAGCACATTGCATTGCTGTGATCACCCATCCATCTTTCATCCGCTTATTCTGAAGAACTTCTTGGGCTTATAGTCGTACAGCTACCAGTTTTCAAAAACTTGCTAGAGATCACACGTCTATTTTCTTTCTGAACAGTGGGTAAACCAAAGAAAGGAGTTGTCTACCCATCCACCCTGGACTACACCCCCTTACATTCCCCGTCGGTGAAAATAGGTGAGCTGGAAACTTAACAGCTTGGCCAACCCCCCTCCTTGCCCCACTCGGTTCATTAATCATACGGCGCGTACCGTTGAATGCGTTTGTAACATCTGGAAGGCAAGATGCACGCTACATCATGTTTTCACGGGAAAGGAACCACGTTTCTTTAAAGCCCATGATTAATGTATGACCTTAATTTGTCAACCAGCTGCTGCTTTTCAGATTAGACTGTATTTATGTTATGGTCATCTCCGCGCCAGTCGTCAATTACATCTTTCCTGTTATAGCATGGCTGCTGGATTTAATTTGATATGTTAACTTTTAGCGATCCAAATTCTAAATGCATAAATTCCTTCAGAGCGGTGTGTCGCTCACGTCCGAGGGCAGAGATGGCCAGAGTTGGTACCTCTCGCTCATGTCTGTGGTGAGGTGCTACCCTGGTTAGTGTAGCAGGAACCGTTGCTTTGCTAAGAACCGTGAAGTGGGCCAGTTCTGGCTCAGCAGCGGCTAAAGAAGGGTCGAGCCATTCTAAGAACTGTTTTTCAGCTCCTCCCGCACATCAGAAGGAAGCCAAGACCTCTCTAACGACCACCGTGTTGCCAGTGACAACGATAGCGGAGCCCACCACGACTCCACCCGAGGTGACCACCACCTCAAGCACACCTCCTCCCACCACCACCACCACCACCACCACCACCACCACCACAGCCAAGCCCCGTGCTGTGCCCCACAAGGTCCGGGATGCTGGTGAGTCCTACATACTGTAGATCCTGGACGCATTAGCACTTGGATGAGAAGCGGATCTGTTGCTGCTAGGGTAACGATCATTGCCTAACCACGACATACGGTTGTCATAGTCAGAGGGCTATGTCCAGCTAAACCAGTGGATCCATCTGCTTTGGATTGCTGTGCTGCTGCTTCTCGGGAATTCACAGTGATATGAGTCATTTCAGTGGTGGAAGTGCCACGCAGACACAGTGTCACAGGGAGGAATTTCAGCTCTTCCTACTCTCTAATTCAAAGCCTTTGTTTGGATTTATTTGGGGACTGGATACAGTATGTCAGTGAACGCAAGCCTGAGGCAAGGTGTCAGTCAAAGGGTTTTGGTGGGAGGGGCCTACAAACAAGCCACACCCACACAAGTCACCAGAACCCACCCACCTGAATTATAATTCTGTGTCGTCCGATCCAGGCAGCAGTCACCCGTATTTTGCCTCTGTGGCAGCTGCAGCCAGTGCCAGTAAGTGTAGCTGTGTCCTGGGTAAGGGGGTTCAGGAGCATGCAGAGTTTGGGGTGCAACAGTGGGGTGTTCGTCTGTCCTTTCAAATACCTGACTACACATAATATAGCATCTCTGTGTGTGAAGTCCCTTCTGAATGCCTGATAGATGCCTTCAAAAATGGACTCTTTGTGAACGAGTCCCACGAAAGGTAAATTAACAAAAGCACAGCATTGAGTTTCTGTTTTCAAAGATGTAGGTTTTCCTTTCATTTAACCTGTTTGCTAACAGTAATGGAAATTGCTACTCAAAAGAAAATATGCATGAAACTGTATCTTTATCTGCCACTTGGGTATTAAGTAGAGTTCTTTGTCAGTCTCAGTATTAGGTGAAGGTTGACTTAGTTAAACTGCCTCTCCTTGTCATGCTTGGTGGGAAGCCTAACCACACTAACCCCTTCAGGTGTGAGGAGGAGCATGGAGAACTGACCATGGTTTACAGCAGTGTTTCCCAAACCGGTCCTTAGGAACACGCAGGCGCTTTGGAGATGGGAGGGAGCAAAAATGTGGACCGTCTGGGAGGGAGCAAAAACGTGGACCGTCTGGGAGGGAGCAAAATTGTGGGTCCCTGAGGACCGGGTTGGGAAACCCTGTTTTACCGTAATCCCTAAACCATACAAACTTTCTTCTTGTTCTCAACGTTGGCTATAGGACAGGCACAGAGTGGTCTCAGAGATGGGTCATCTCAAGGTAAGGAATTTCCTACAGCAGTGGGATGGGCAGAAGTAGACGTGCATCCTGCTGCCTAGGAAACATCAACTAACGGTGGTAAAATTGTTCCCCAAAGCCTTCAGGGGAAGCTCCACCCATACGAGCAGATTTGCACCTCGTATCGTACAAGGTAACTCGATCCTGATGCGTGTTGTCTGTCTTTGGCCACTTGGCGGCGCCACGCACAGGAAGTGGGCGGCTGTAGAGGGATTGGGGTGTTTTTTGCGCCAATCCTTTTACTGCTGTTCCTCCCCCGTTCCCCGCATGGTGCTCTTTGCTTTGTATGTGCACAGCTGCTTGCACAGTGTTTACACACCTGATCGACGCGGCCCACGTGCTCCCTCACTGTGGTGAGTCTTTCTCCGGGCTGCATTAGGACATGCGGGTGTAACAAGAGCAGTAAATGAGCAGGTGAAGTCTCCCGACCTTATTTTGATGGGAGATGCAGGGGTGTATATAGGGGTGGGGTCACAGGGGCATTGGTGGACCCAACTGAAAGCTGATTGGCCCCCTCCCGTGTCACTCACCAATTCAAAACATATTTTTGGCTAATGAAAAGGTAGGCCTCTCTGTATGAATCATGATCTGTCTGGGGGGGGGGGTTAGTTGAGGTCACATGGGTCTCACACTCACCAGACCTGAGCTTTTTCTTTACACCACACAGGTCCACACACACAGGAGTCGGGAGCTGCTGTCAGGCGGCCAGCAGGCCCTGTCCCGCGCCCAGGTCAGCCTCCGTTTCACGTGACACTCCCATCCCGTCCACGTTCAATTGATTGTGCTGATCCCAAATCAGTGGGGAGGAGTGGGGATAAGAAGGCACATGATACTGCTGCAATTTAATGGTAACTGTTTGATTGATGGGTGTATAGATTGCCGAGAGTTATGTTGATTATGGTGTACAGGTTTATTTCACTTAAGGTCGGTCTCCATTTTAATTACATATTTTTAAATAATTTCATAACTAAGAAGTAGGTGTCTGGAGTATCCCGTGGGTGTTTGACATGTTCCTGAAGAGCTAAGTCTACCCCTCTGCCCCGCAGGCCGAGTGCTGCTGCCCCCCCCCGAGAGGACCCAGCAAGTGGTACAGTCCAACCCCAGTGAGTGCCTGCAGATCACATGTGCCCGCGGGCTCATGATCCATTCAATCTGGCCATTAAATAGTCCCTCTGACGCCCTACAGAGCAGAGCTCTCAGTGTGTCGGAAAGCAGCGCTGTTTTCATAAGCGGACGTGCTAATCCCGTTTTGTGAAAGGACTGAGCCCGAACATTAACGGATATCCTGACTGTCTCCAGCTCACTGCCAAAAATGAGTGACAGGTGACCCCCCCCCCCCCTCCCTTTCTGCATGTAACAATGGCGGCTGCCTGCATGGTTGGAGCCCCTGAGGAGATCAAGGCCCAGACAAACTGGGGGTCAAATGGGAAATGTGTTTTCCATCTTCCGCATAAATAGACATGCTGCCCTCAATGTGAGGACACACCCACAAGTACAAGAACAGCCAGGTGACGGTCGTCCTTTGTGCTGGAGCCAGAAACCCCTATGGACAGTCGCGCTTTCATCTGTGCTATAATTTTAACATTTTATTTGCCTACCAGAGCCTGTCATGCGAGATAGCTGAGAATATTCACAGTCTCGTACAGATGGACGCCATTACTGTAGCACACAGAGCTCATGTCTGGACATTAAAACCAGCTCTGGCTGTTTCTGTCATGAGTGTGAATTCTTAACTAGCCCCCCCCCCTGCTGTGATCATCTGGGTGGTTGATCTCCTCCCCCAGCCTCCGTGTGTCATCAACAGATTAGCTGGGGGGAAATTCAGTATGGTTCCCACCTTTGATGGCCAACACGGCGAACACAAGCTGGCACTGAGAGAATCTAACGTCCTGGTTTGGGAACACCCTGTACAAACACAGCTTGATGGTGTTTTGATTGGCCTATTCAAAGGACCTTAATAGCTGTGAGAGTTATACAGGGTTCAGTGGGTGTCTGCTATGCTCATAAGACAAAGACCAAAAATCCATTTCCCATTGACACAGAACCTTCTCTTGAATGCTGGCCCAGCTTCAGTTTTGCTTTATATCAAATTTAAAAACAAAATGATGATGTCATCATTCAGAAAACATGGATGCAGCTTCTATGTCTTCTATGACTGAACCTCGAAAGCCCTGCCTGGCTACTTTTGACCTTACAAACAGCCTAGACATCAACTCCCAGACGGCTGGTCATCATCTGGCTGTAGGTTTTCACTCCATTAACCAATGAAACACTAGATTCTCCAAAGCCATGTGTTGGAATCACCCCATCTGAGCCCTGATTGGTTAACAGAGGAAGCCCCATCTGAGCCCTGATTGGTTAATGGAGGAGGCCCCACCTGGACTGTAGTTCTGAAAGAGCAGCATTGCTTTCTGAAGGTTTAGCATCCAGCCGCTGAGGGGTCATTGATGGTCGCTTGCTTGTCTCTGTATCTTTCTGCAAAAAGCTGTTCTATACTTCTTCCACGCAGCTTTTTCCAGGAGGGAATGGCCACCCTCCTCGCACCAGCACCCAGATCGATTTGCTGCCCCAAGACGACCAACAGGTATCACATGCAATGGAAAAGCCCAGAGGAGAAAAGTCCATGTGACAATGAGACAGAGAGAGTTCGGGAGCCACTTCAAAGTCTGCTCTAATGCAGGAGTGATTCGATGCACAAATAAATATGCACTTACTTTAATAACATATGCATAATTACTTCTAATAATAAAATAATTTAATACACTAGTAGCCAAACTTGTGGAAAGACTTCCAATTCTTAGATTACAGAACTTTATTAAACTGCTGCTCCAGTTACTTATTTAATCGTCCAGTGTATGATATTTGTAACATTCTTTGATTATTTATAAACATTACCGCCAATATTTGTGTAGTAATTTTTAAAGCCAGAAATGCTCACTATTTTGGCCACTAGTATAGATTATAAATTGTACTTCACTGTTAACAATAACAGCCCGAATTAACCCCCCCCCCCCCCATGTGGCTTTAATTGCCAAGCTTTTTGTTCAAGAACACAAAGTAACAAGCAAAGAGAGAATATTACTATATTAAATGCAAATAAACTGCAAAGAACTGCTGAGTAATAAGCTCTTATGCGGAGTCACGGCTGGCTGTAGTAAAAAGGGGTCATTAACTCTCCCGCCCAATCGTTTGCCTCCATGTTCAGATGTTAGTCACTCGACTCTGGACAGGGGGAACACCTGGAACCAGCCGGACACGCGCATGACTGCAGGTGAGGGGAGGAGCGGGGGGGCAGTCGCAAGGCGCCCCCTGTGACCTGCTGATTTTCGCGTTATTTGCGTTGCCTTCTTGATTCTGTCAGCATGTTGGTCATGAAACAAGCTGCAAGGACATAAAGGTGAGATGGAATGTGTCATGCATGAAGTGCTTTGACTGGCTTGGGCTTAGCGAATCACGGTCAAGTAGATGGGCTTCCTCCCAGAATGCACCAGGAATCTCTGCTGATGCTCACCAAGCCACCTGCTGTTTCCCCATCAGTACGGAACCACAGACCAGACGCCTCTGATCTTGACTGGCGCTTTGGCTATGGACAGTATCGTAAGTAAGCATTTCTTTCATTACGGGCCAGTAGTGTCAAACTGAGGCACTGAAAGAGCCATATTCAAAACCACCAATGTATTTGTGGGCCGACACAGGGATTTATGTAGTTAACCAAATAAGTGCAAAGTTTGGGTCATACTGTTGAGTTCTTTAGTATATGTAAATAACATTTATAAATTTGAACTTCATAGTCACTTTGGTTTCCCCCCCCAGTCTAAAAACATCCTAAGGTGAATTGGAGTTATCAAATTGCCTGTAGGTGTGTGCGTGACTGGCGTGTGCGTGACTGGCGTGTGCGTGACTGGCGTGTGCGTGACTGGCGTGTGCGTGACTGGCGTGTGCATGTGCCCTGTGATGGGTTGGAGCCCCATCCTGGGTTGTTCCCTGCCTTCCGCCCATAGGCTCCAGACCCCCCACAACACTGTATAGAACAAGTAATTACAGAAAATGGATGGATGAAACTTTGAAGGGAACTTTATTCCTCAAAATCTTTTTATGTTTAAATGTCTTTTTATATTAAATTGAACAATGATATACAGAAACCTCTCCAAAGATCCATCCATCCATCCATGTTCTCGAACCACTTGTCCTATTCAGGGTAGATCGCAGTGTTCACAGTAGCTAGATGTAGTAGGGCTGGTGGGGGTGACATAGCTGGGCAGGAACATGGAGTAAGGGGGCTGGGGGGCAACCTAGGCGAACGGGGATGAAATAGGCAGGCAGGTAGGACTAGGTGGGCAGGGGGGTGACATAGGTGGGCAGGCAGATGGGCTCGGTGGGGAGGGTTCTGACATGTGGGCTGGGGGGTGACAGGCAAACAAGCAGGTGGAATCGGCGGGCAGACAGATGGGGTAGGTGGGCGGGGGGGCGACCTAGGCAGACAAGGGGGTGACATACATGGCGTTGCAGTTTTACTAATAATTATTAAAAAAAAATACTATTTATTTAAAGAATTCAGTTTTGTTTTCCCTGTTGTACTGAAATAACACTGAACTGTGTACTGTTGCACCCCAATTCTGGGCCATTTTTAACAGGATTTCAAAATTATTTTGTAAGCCATAAGGAACTGTGCTGCAGATGTGGCCCGCGGGCCTTCAGTTTGACATGTTTTAGGGGACCTTTAAAGGTTTCTCTTCTTTAAAAAAGTCTTTTACTTACCAGTGTAAGGTCTGCTCGGGTTTACAGGAGGAGAATTTACCAGTTCTGACATTTGCGGCTGAACAGTTCCCCAGTTCTAAAATGAAATAAGAATTTACGGCCCAAGACAACCATAACAGGAATGTCTGAAGCACTTTGTGGAACCAAAAACGGCTTTGAGTAACTGCAAGCTTTCCAGCACAGGATAACTGCTGCTCAGGAACATCTCTGCGTACTGGCTGCAGAGAACAATGTGGTCAGGCTGGGTCAGTTTACATTTTTAACAAAAAAAAAATCAGCAGAAGCCAGATATTTCTACATTTTTTTTTAAGCATTACTATAGTTAGACCCCATAGATCACAGCTGTTGTTGAGCTAATGACCTCAGTACTGAGAAGCTGCTGAGAGGAAGGAATACAGACTTTGTTTGGGGAGTAAGTAAGTTATTAATGTCAATGTATTAAGATAATAAGGCATAGGTGAGTTGAATACAGGGTGTCATTCCTTCCCCCATTATGTATCTGCTCAGAAGGTTGGCAGTTCTGTCTCTTTTAAAAACTTTTCAGTTCTTAAACCGCTAGTGAAGCGTTTGCTTGCCTAAATAAGGATGGCAGTGGAACCTTTAGTTTGATCGAGGTTTACTCTAAAAAAAAAAAAAAAAAAAAACCAAAAGTATTCTGTGGGTCGATTTGTGGAGTGTCATTTTTAGCATCAAGGTCATTTTAGATACCAATGAACTACAGACTGTAAATCATGGGAGGGGCGGGGCCGGGAGGCACCACAAATGAAGCAGTGACAAGACAGTAGTGTGGCATCTGTGCGGCCTGCTTTTTATTTATATTTATATATTTTCCTGGGGATTACAGGGTGCATGGTGCATATATATTTTTTGTTTGTAAGGTTCCAGAAGCGCTCAAATTAAAGTGAGCTTGTTTTGGATCGTTCCGGAGCAGCCAAATGAGCGCTGCAGAATCGAGTGCCGTCTGGTCACAGGGGGGAGCGTTCAGTCAGAAAGCCGCATGCTCACCCCCCACCCCCCTTCCAGCCTCTAGGTCAGGGGAGCCAGACCGTACCCGAAAGCTTCACCCAGAGGATACGGTCACCGAAGGTAGGCCCCCCCCCCCCCGAAAAACCAACCCACCCTTCAACACTCCATTCATTAGTCTGTTTATTTCCAGTTTTTTCCTCCTGTTTGCAGACTATCATGTGGCTCAGCCATCACCTTCCCGCCGTAGATGTTAGCTGTGGCAGGCTAATGCTAAAGACATCAGTTTATGTGTCGGCCTTTAGTTCCAAGCTGCCTTTGCAGCATCCTCACGCTAGCCGACATAGCAATCTGGCAAACTTTGGTATATCTAAATAATAACTTTCGTCTTGTGCCATAAAACACTCTGAGACCCGGCTCCCGGTTCGCTTTTGTTAACGACCCTGAGCTTTTGTTAACACATCACTGATTAAGAATCTCCAACACAGTCGAGCCCATCGATGCCTGGAAGCCAGACGTTACCCCCTTCGATGCAGGTGAGTGCGGCTTGCTCCGGCTGCACAGGTAAGAATACGCTAAGCCGCAGGTGGTCGGCGTGTCTGCGGAACACAGCGAAGACAGCAGCTACTCACCTTTTTGATCTGGAGAAGCTGATTCATGTTAATAGCTGGTACAATTTACTTATTTGTCAAGTGGGAGAACATGGTCGGTGGAGAAGACAAGGTCTTGTGCCACACTGAGGACCAGGAGTCCCCAGCCCACCTTGCTACAGGCTGCACATTTTCCTGTGCATCTCTGCTAGCAGCAGTCAGAATAATCACTTCCGAGTCCAGATCAGCTTCTGCTGAATTAAGTTTACTTGACAAGTTCAGGTCATAAACGAGGCACCTTTCTTCTTAATAAGAATTGGCGTCGACTGACGGAAGCTGACATGCTGGCACTGGGAATGGCTGTCTGGTGAGACACTCAGTGGGTTTAATGTGTTTCTCGCAGACTTCAGCGTCCGTGAACAGGACTCCCTGCCCAAGGCTCCAGATCCTGTCTCACAAGGAGACCCAAGTAGGTCTCAGTGCTGCGTTTTCCAAAAGATTCTTCATAGTTCAGCTCTGACGCTCTTTCATGACCTTTTGCTCACTTACTCTCATTCAACAATCCTGTATTTTTCAGTTATTATAATTGTCCTGCTTATAAAGGAAACGACTGCTTGACTATACGGACACCAAAACCAGTTTAGACATTTGTATGTCAGTTTCTATTTTAATATGATTTTATCAGTCTGTCACCTTTTTCCAAAGCTTTCTGACACAAACGTGCCCCCCCTCAGACTGCAAGGTGGACATCGCCTTCTTGGTGGATGGCAGCTGGAGCATCGGCAAGCGCCGCTTCAGGATCCAGAAGGACTTCCTGTCCATGGTATCGCAAGCCATCAACGTGGGCACCTCTGGGCCCATGATGGGCATGGTCCAGTATGGGTAAGACCTGTGGGAGACGCCCACCCCTGTGGCAGTCATGGACGTCACCCCGCCCTCTGACGCGTGTTCAGAAGTGTGTCAGAGCGACACAATACAATATATAGTTTGATGCACTTTCAGATCAGCAGTGAAAATGAGCGAAATCGCAGTCCGGTCAAGTGCTCTATGGATTATATGCCATGAAATGTTTGTCTAAGAATAAATGGTGCATTAAATCCATTCTGATACAGAGTGATGGAATAGAGGAGAGAGTGGGGCCAGTAGCATACAGAGAAGGCCAACAAATCCTGTTCACCAGAGTGCTTCTCCCACCCCCAAGGGGAGTTAAATTACTATGGATTTGTTAATGCTTTTGGGGTGGGGGGGGGGGGGGCTCTCACTTGCATATGGTGGCTTTGGAGAGAGATCATAGATGTTTTGTTTTGTGTTGCTTTTATTTCGGTGGGACAGAGATGAGCCCGTGACAGAGTTCAGTTTGAAGGTGCACACTAGCTCAAAGGACCTGAAACCGGCAATAGACAGGATCGTCCAGAAGGGGGGGCTGTCCAATGTGGGTGAGTGAGTTCTGCTGCCTGAATTTGGATGCATTGAATTTGCTGTCCTGAATAATCCTCCATTGGTGAGCAGTCATGTCTGTGTCCATGTTTTTACCGTGTTTGCCAGCAAATAATCACAGTTCAAATTGTTATACAGTATAGTGGTTTTATTATGAAGAATAAATTCAGTTCATTGTGGCGGGTAAGGGAGTGATTTGATTTTTACAGAAATATCTGTCTTCGGTGTTTACAGCTGAAATTGGCAATTTAAGAATTTTGTCAACTGTAAATTTACTTTCTGTGAAAAGTTCAGGTCTGAGGTAAATTTCCCACATGTTCAGTAGTGAGTTAGCGAGAGAGTTTCCCAGCTTCATTTAGGAGAGTTTGACACAAACCACTTCACAAAAATAAATAAATAAATAATTTGGTTTTTAGTGAGTTATGGCAGCTATGTATCTGGGATTGAGTTGATAAATTACAGACCTCCCCTGGGGGGAGGGGGGTCCGCCTTCACGTGGAGCTGCAGCCGTCCCCCCCCCCCCGAAGGAGTACCCATGTTGACATTCCCTCCCATGCCAGATGTTTCCTTGCCGACCGCATACAAACAAGCTTGTTTGTTTCATGGCACTGTCAACAAGCCTCTGAAATCCCCCCCCCACCAGACACCCATACATTTTTGTGCAAATTATACTTCTAGCACCCTTTGAAGACCGACATATTGGCACTGTGGGAAAAACATATATATATATATATATATATTCAGTAATTAGTACTATTGTTGCACAAGTGAAACTTATGCATTAATGACCATACACCTGTATACAGCAGAGGGCAGTAGTGAGGCAAGAGCTCAGAATATGCTGGGGACATGCTGAACCGGGTACAACACACATGCACCTTAAAAGACACTACCCTGTCTTTATCAGAACTAATAATCTTAACATTCACCACCACCATCATCATCATCCCTTCATAGCTGCATGCCCTACCTGTATGTTGGCGTTGCTGCCTGATGCAGCTCAACGCTCCCCCCGTTTGACCCCCACAGGAAAGGCCCTCGCCTATGTCAACAAGCACTTCTTCTCTGACGCCAACGGCAACCGAGGCAGCGCGCCAAACGTGGCCGTGGTCCTAGTGGACGGCTGGCCTACAGACAGGGTGGAGGAGGCGTCCCGCCTGGCCCGGGAGTCCGGCATCAATATCTTCTTTGTCACGGTCGAGGGGGCTGACGAGAGCGAGAAGCAGAGCGTGGTGGAAGCCAACTTCGTGGATAAGGTGATGCAAGCAGAGACGGCCTCATAGCTCAGCCATGCATATGCGAATGCGCAATGCAGCTCAAACATACCACAGACCCACGAACGCCAAAGGCACCGACGTCATTTAGGAAACCAGGACGGGGCACCTGATTGGCTACAGAATCATGGACTTAGAAGGGAGGGGCCACATACGGAGCCCTTAGAGCAAAACACAGCTCAGCATAAACCAAAAGTGATCTTTGATCCTCCTGCCTAAATCCATACAGGTTGCTGTAGTTACACCGTTTACCATTTTAAGCTGGGCTGGTTCTGATGCGTGTGCAGGTTCTTAAGGGAAAATAAAACTCTGGTTGGTCCGCATCTCCATTCCTTCACCTATAGGCGGTTTGCAGGACCAACGGCTTCTTCTCGCTGCCCGTGCCAAGCTGGTTCGGGCTCCGCAAGGCCGTGCAGCCCCTGGTGAAGCGCGTGTGCGACACGGACCGACTGGTGTGCAGCAAGACGTGCCTGAACGCCAACGACATCGCCTTCGTCATCGACGGCTCCAGCAGCGTCGGCACGGGCAACTTCCGCACCGTGCTGCAGTTCGTGGCCAACGTGACGCGCGAGTTCGAGATCTCGGACACGGACACGCGCGTGGGCGCCGTGCAGTACACCTACGAGCAGCGGCTGGAGTTCGCCTTCGGCCAGCACAACACCAAGGCCGAGCTGCTGGCCGCCATCAAGCGCATCAACTACTGGAGCGGCGGCACCAGCACGGGAGCCGCCATCACCTACGCCTCCGAGCAGCTCTTCAGCAAGTCCAAGCCCAACAAGCGCAAGATCATGATCGTCATCACCGACGGGCGCTCGTACGACGACGTCAGAGCGCCCTCTCTGGCCGTCCGGCGTGCTGGTGCGTGGAAGATTCCCCTGGGGGTGGGGGGCTGATTTTCTAATTCCCAGTCTGGCCCTCAGGGACCCCTAAGTCAGTCCTCATTTTTTGGACAGTGCCGGTCCCCGAGGACTGGACTGGAAAACACTTCCTATTCACACAAGTTTAATAGGTCATCATTCCTGTGTTGTACACTGTATCCTTTTAGGGCAACAGAGCATAGCAGTTATGGGAAGGGAAGGGTGGGGTGGCGGGGGGGGGGACATAAGGCAGGAAGGATATCCAGACATGACTATTTTGCCTCAGTAACCATACAGCTGTGCAAATTCTTTAGATAACATTAAGTAATTAAAGATTTTATTGAGCACCACGTTTACACTGTACATACCTGTGCCTGGTTCTGCCAGCCAACCAGCTGAGGGATGTGTAGGAGGTAACGGACATTAACCAGCCGCCTGGGTCCCTCTCCGCTACACTCAGGTGTGATCGCGTACTCCATCGGCATCGCCTGGGCCGCTCAGGATGAGCTAGAGGACATCGCCACCGACCCGGACAAGGAGCACTCCTTCTTTGTGGACGAGTTCGACAACCTCTACAAGTTTGTGCCCAAGATCATTCACAACATCTGTCAGGAGTTCAACTCCCAGCCACGGAACTGAGCAGGCAGTGGGGGGTGGAAGGAGGTTCACTGGACTGGGTAAGTGGTGCCTTGGATTGACGGTCTTCTATAGCCCTGGATTTCCTTCTCTTTACATGTGGGGCCTCCTGTCTCAACATCTAGCGTCTTACAGGAATATTCCAGGTGGGCTTACAACATTATGGATATCTTTAACATTTTGTCAGTGGGTATGATGCCTTTAACAGATTCACTCTGAAACATAGCAATGATTAAATTGCCTTGTGATCAAATATTGTTGATCTTCAATAGTGAGATGAGGCTTATTTCTTAAAAAGCGAGGAAGTAGGATCCTAGTTTGAAATGGAGTGGAGTTGTGCACTCAATGCTTTGTGCCTTTTGTCATTCTGTTAAAGTTCTGCTTCTCAGAGAGACCTACTGTGTACAACTTAATAGCACTTCTGCCTCCAACTCGAACCATCATGAATCTTAAATCATTTAGGCCCAATTTGCAATGGTGGTCAGTTTCAGAAAAGGGGAAAAACACATTACAATACCATTGTATTATTTTCTCACATGGTCCAGTAACTCCAATTGTGCTTTACAGTTAACAGGTTGATAAATGACCGGATTTGTTTTGTTTTTTTTAAACTGCTGCCTGTTATCTGGTCACGACGCAGGTTATTTCATAGCAAAAATATTTATACAACTTTTCTTCCCCTATTTGTACATATGCATATTAAATCTTGCTTGTGATTTTTAAATATCCAAAACATTAACAGTATTGTACTGGAATTTTTAATAAAACATATTAAAACACTTTGTTTGCATTATTATTACCAAGGTGCCAACTTTGCAAACAGATATCACCCATCACCACTCGGGAAGTCGAGACGATAGATAGTTCCTGCTATAAGGTCGTGATTGACCTCCTACATACATGGGCTGCTGCAATGGGGACTCGTGTCACCATCTCCTATAGACTGTCACCATCTCCTAGGGCCCATTGCATGACACCATAACACACCCCATCACCACCACAGGAAGGACACACTCACACCCCGTTCATATACATAATATACATAATGTACAACTGCATTTAGCTCAAATACTTCAATATCTCTGGAAATATTTTGGGTATAAATCTGTGCAGGTCAGCGGGGCCACACCTCAGGCAGAATTTAACAAAAATAAATCATACTCTACAGAGCCAACAAGACGATAAGTACACCATCCTTAACCATAAAGCGACGTTTTTAAAACGTCGACTGAGCCAGACCCCTGTGGAGTGGATGGGCAAAATGCTGGTAACGGCCGACTAATAAATCCCAGCAAACAGTAGCTGCCCCCAGAAGAGCGCGAGAAGGTTAGGAGAGTGATGAGCTGTGGTGGTCATGGCCATCCTAAAGAAGGGAACCTGTGTTTCAATGCGGCGCCCGGTCCCTGCTGAGTCATATTGATTTGGTGGGGCACTATGAAGTCTGAGGTGATGAAAGTGGAGAGATTTACTTTCTACAATGAATTCCATCTGATGTAAGAGGAAGCGGATTACCTATATGACGTCAAGGTCAATATTCATACCTTAGGAAGTCATAAAAGCAAACCCCATAAGACCTTTTGCAGAGGCATAAGTATACCAATATTCCAAATGAACCGCTCCAGAAGGACCTTCGTACACACAAGCTGAATCACAGTAATTGAGGAAAGCTATATTAAGCTGCTCGGAACCGACGAGGCGTAACTCAGCAAAGAAGTTCCTGACTGTTGTGCTGGAAAACAACCAGCCTGTCCAGATGACAATGAGGCAATTGGATGAAAGCGAAGCAGCCAATGAGCACACTGACAAAGGTGTGACAGCCAATGGGCACGCTGACAAAGGTGTGACAGCCAATGACTATTCCAGGCAAATTCGCCCCTGGCAGTTACACATTTAATCAAAACAACTGCTCAAATGAAGTCAAATTTCAGCATGAGGATTAAGACTGGATATATATTCTGTTTATTATGAGCATGTAACTTTACATCCAACTTTTTTTTTTTGTTAAAACGGACATCCCCAACCTTCCAAAGAAAAAACATTTGGTAAAAATAACATAGTCTTTAAGACCCTTTTGAAGCAAAGGCACATTTTCATAACATGTTTAAAAACAAATGCTGGGGCAGGCAAGGGGGGGGGCATATACAGGATTTAATGGCAGTCATGGCACGCCTTTACACTTTTGACCACGTTACAACATAACCCAAAATTTTATTGACGGGGGAGGGGCTTGCCCTTGGAGCGGCGCACTGGTGACCAGTGGGGGGGCGGGTGAGTGCGGCGTCCGCACACACAGTAACTGAGTACCGAAGGATGTTTCCCGGCATGGCAGTGAAACCCCCCCCCAGCTTTTGAAGAGACTGAGCAGTGCCTTATCCTGCATGTTACTGACAGAGCTCAGTAGGGATCCACCCAAATGCGCGGAACCATCCCTGCCAGGTAGTACCCAGGCCTGCCTGGATGGATGGGGGATGGGGGATGGGGGGGGGGGGGCAGTGGGCTAGTGAGGGGAGGCAAAAAAAATAAAAAATAAAAGTCTGTGCCACTCGATGCAAAATCATCCCCTCACACCCATTTTCTAATTCACCACGGCCTGCCACTTCAATCCAGACGCAGGGCCAGGACTGCTTCAGGTTTGGCCAGACAGAGAAGCTGAGAGGGAACAGAGCTGATTGGTGGGCGTGAGGGGTGGGCGTGGCTCCGATACCTAAGCCCCACCTCACCTCCCTTGCCATTGGCCCCTGGCCGTGATGGTGTTCGGGCCCCAGGGAGAGAGTGCGCACCTCCGTGTCATACAAACACCTTGGCCAGGGCGTCGGAACCAGCGCTGGCGATGTAACACTTGGTCGGGTGAAACGCCACGTCGTGGATGGACTCGTCGAATTTCTTCCGGTGGGCAGTGAACTCCTGGATGCAGGTCTTGCTTTCAAGGTTCCATAGGCGGATGGAACAATCATGACCTTGGATGAGGAAGATAGAATGGGTTATGGGAGATTAAAGCTAAAATGTCACTTTAATTTACATAAAACATGTTTTCTCATTTCCAGTTGAGGTGTTGCAGACTTTGGCCTGTGTTGCCCTCTGCTGTACAGAGGGAGAAGTGCAAAAGTTTCACTACCTATGCTTGCTTCCTATCTAGTAATCCAGGTAAGTTAACACTTACGCACAGACACGGGTACAATACTTACTACCAGACATAAGGTACAGTCCATTAGGGTCCACGGCTAAGCTTGTGACCGCATCCAAGTGAGCCACCATAGAATGGATGAGCTTCCCTGAAAATGTAAGTACACTGATGAATTAAGGCCACTGAATGCCATGGAAGCTATGAAACAGACATTTAAAAAAAATAAATAAATAAAAAATTACCATATACAGTGCTCACAGAATGTCATGGGATGCTTGCTTGATTCAGAAAAATATTGCAAATTTATTGGTTTTATAACAAAAATCATTACTTTATTCATGCTTACAATATATATCACGTTAAGACACAACCAGTAGTTTTAAGTAAAACATTCATTTCTACTTGCAATAAACAAACCCAAATTATAGATCTAAAGGAGCTGTTCTGAGTTAAAAAAAATATATATATATTTTTTTTTAAATCACTAACAAGCAGTCTTATTGGGTGCTTTTTAATTAGTAACACCTCTGCAATAACACAAAACACCAAACACTTGTGTTTACTATCTCTTTGGGAACCAGTAACTACATTTGCAATTAATAGCAAAATGGCAAGAACAGAACTGAGTGAGTCAGTTAAAAACATTATGACACTTAATAAAAAGAAAATGTCTGCGGATGATATGTGCAGGTATGATAAACATTGCTTGTTAACGGACTTTTGTTATGAAACCAATAAATTTGCAACATTTTTACAGAACTAAGCAAGCGTCCTGAGACTCTGAGTTCCGCACGATGCGGTTCTTCGACATTCAGAAGGAAACATCAGCTGGAGGAGGGAGAATGGTACCTGTGTTGTTGTCGAAGAATTTGATGTGGCGGTCCTCCTGAGCCGCGACGGTGACAGGGAGGGTGGGGTGACTCAGCACTTTGTTAATGCGGCAGGGAGAGCCTGAGGGACAGAGATACAAAGCCAAAGGGGGGGGGGGCAGATAAGAGGGAAACAAAGGCATTCATTGCAGATACTGTCGCAAACACAACCCAAGCAAAGACGTTTTAGCTGGCTCATCTTGCAGCAGCGATCAAAGTTGGCTGGAACATAATGGGGCGGGGGGGGGGAATTGACGACAGCACCATGACTCATCGTGGCAATAAGCAGTGACTGCAGCACAGGAGCTCTGCTATCAACGCACTGCTTCTCCAGTGTACTTGCTCTATGTTAGTCAAAGGCTTTTCCAACTACCCTCCCACCAACAGGTGGCGCTGTACCTGGCTCCATAGTGGACTCTAGGCTGAGGACCAGCTGACGGGTCTCCATGTTGAAGAGGCCCATCCGGCCATTGCTGAAGGAGGTGACCATGTGGGCTGGCTCGCTGCACACAAGATCCACCGAGGAGGGGATGCCTAGTTCTGGAGCACAGAATGGAGGGACATCCATCACCAAAATAATCCTACCCTGGGATGTTCCGTAATATATTTGTCTTGACCATCAACCAGGTTTTTCCTATTAAAAGCCATACTACCTACAGAACCTGAGAATGGATTCCTTACCGGGTTGAGCTTAACCTGACATTCCTGAAACTCTTGGCATAGACAAGTAGAGAGAAAAAAAAAAACACACTTTCAACATGCCAAGACCCATGTGGAGCACCTCAGAGGATGCCAGCGTATGCCAGAAGCCCGTCCGTTCAACACCAAGTGTGTCTGCTGGATCTTACCTCCGCTCTCGTTAAAGACCGCAAGGGCTGGGGAGGTGTCTGCGGCGTTCCACAGTCGGACTGTGCCGTCAGCGGAGCAAGACAGGAGGCAGTGGTGAGCCGAGCTGTACACGAGGCCCCAGACTGCGTCCGTGTGACCACACAGCACCCCCCGCAGTGCAGAGGGCTCTGTAAGACAGGAGCAGAAAGCCCAACACGCCATTATCAAGGAGGAATCATTTAAATGGTTCTAATCCGTTTCCAGGCGATCTGATGTATAGTCTATCGTATACAAGCCTTCTGAAGCACTACAAACAAGGGTATCTGCTGACATTCAGTGAATGCACAGGGGGCTGCACATACCGTAAGAGTCGTAGGGGTCAATGTTGGGGCTGGGCGTGTTCCAGCTCTGGATGGTTCCATCCACCCCCCCACTGAAGCACTGCTCTCCTGAGGCGCTCATGACGACACTCAGCACAGCACCCCTGAAAGATGGGTCCAGGCCAGCGTTACGCCCAGAAAAACGCCTCTCCCCGCACTACCAAACATCCTACACTTAGAAATGCCAAACAGCCAAACCCAGCCTGTACTGAAGGCTAACGTTATCCACTACTGGATCATCAACATTATAGGTTAGCAGTCTGCAGGACGCCATACTCACCGGTGTCCCCTGAAAGTGTAGATCGGTTCCACGTCCAGGGAGGCACTCCTGCAGAGGGGAGGGGGGCAAAATAAGCAGTGAGTCTGACAGGGATGCTACTCCGAAGAAGGCAGGCCGCCACCTAGAGGTCACACTAAAACGCTGTCTTCACAGACTCATTGCAGTCAAGTTGGTCAGAGATAACAGGCAACGGAGGAAATTTGAGAAAACGTGCATGAGGCCTCGTACTTCTTGGCCGGGGCAGTCTTCTGGAGGTTCCACATCTTGAGAGTGTGGTCCTCAGACGCGGTCACCAGCACGGGCTCCAGGGGGTGGAAGGCCAGGGCACGAATGGCGTCGAAGTGGCTCCGAAGCGTGAATTTGGGGTTCCAGGTCTTCCTCAACGCGTCCTGGTTGTTGGAAACCTGGGAGTGGACGCAGATTGTGCAGAGACAAGGGGTCAGACAGAAACTTAAGGACGCCTCAGTATGTCAAAGATTTCTTTGAGGGGGCTACGAAATTTTGGACACGTGTGTCCAGAGAAAACTGTAGGCGGAAACGTCAGCGGCAGTATATGCCGCTACCGTCAGCACTCAGTGTCCCTGTGTTGACGCTCAATCCTGCCAAATGAAGTGTGCGAATCAATTTACAGCTCGCCCACATGACGAAGGAGCGAGTGCGGATGAGCCGACCCAGATTCAAGTCAGCTTGCCTTTATTGGTTCTGCATGATGTGTTAATCTTCTTAAGGCTGTTATTTTCCCATACTGACACATCTGGATAGCCAAGTGCTTAGTGAACAGAATACCTACCAGAGTATTAAGCCTTGTGACAGGGTTCCCCAATTCCAGTCCTGGAGGGCCAGTCTATGACACAGTTTGTAGATTTCCCTGCTCAAACACACCTACTAAACCTGGCAATTGGCTGATGAGCTGAATAAGATGTGTTTGAGCAGGGAAATCCACAAACTGTGTCACAGACTCGCCCTCCAGGACTGGACTTGGGGAACCCTGCCTCTTAGGGTCCTACATGTTTAACACACTTGGTCCGAGTGCATTTGGATCCTGATTCAAGCCGGACAGGCAGCATTACAGTGATTTCGGGGTCACCCCCACCTAGTCCCATTTCACACTCACATCATAGGCTAGGGCGTCGGCCTCATTGGCCACAGTCAGGCCCGCCAGCTCCCCCAGCCCCAACTCAGTCTCCATCGCCTCCTCAGCGGTCATAATGAAGGACTTCCCTGCTGTTGGGGGGAACGTCATGCCCTCCACTGTAAGGCAAAGGGAAGACAGTCAGTTCCTCACGACAGCCACGCTCTCTTGGTCGGGAAGCCGAAAGTGGTGCACACAACCTTCATCGCCATGGCTGGGCTCATGCTCTCCGAGCCTGGCTGCGGGGGTCCGCGCCGGCGGCGCCACCGAAGGCTGCATGGGTGGTAGGTCTTCTGCGTCCCTCAGGTTCGCCAGCATGTCCTGTAACTTGGACCGGTTTGGCCCTGGGAGCATTTGGGGGAGGGGGGTACAGAAACTCTTAGGACATGGACCAAGTCTTGCTCCTAATTCAGCATGTGACTATGGCAAAATGATCAAATATGGCAAAAAGAAGAAAATCGCAGAAAAGCAGAGGGTGAAGGTACAGAACAGGCACCGTAAGACTCAGGAGGCAGTGACAAGGTGACAGGAGCAGTCTGAGGCTGAGGGTGGGAAGAGAGAGGTGACAGTGCTCTATAACAGTGTTTCCCAATCCGGTCCTCAGGGACTCAGTCGGTCCATGTTTTTGCTCCCTTCCAGCTCCCGGTAGCAAAAAGGTGTCCTGTCTGTGGGCCCCTGAGGACCAGATTAGGAAACGCTGCTCTATGTGGCATAGGACTGTGGACGCGCACATACACACACACACACACACACACACACACACACACACACACACACACAATCAATCAGAAAACAGTGTCAACTGGGTAGCAATTGATGCAAACTGTTGGAAAAACCTAAATAAAAGTAAAGGGTGGGAAAAAGGAAGGGGGAAAGTGTAAAGCAGAAGATAACAGGAAGCGTGCGTGTCCGAGCATGTGTGCGAGCAAAAGGATGCCTGGAATGACAGAGGCAAACCAAAGAAAACAAAGCAAACTTGCCCAAGCAAGTATGAAACTGAACAAGGAAGGTATAGAGAAGCCCAGTCAGCTGAAGAAACAGAAGGGAAAATGCAGGATCATATAGGATGGAGGACCAGGAATCAGCTGGAAACCATGTGATCAGATGGCAGGGCTGAAGGAAATTAAAGTCACCAGTATGCAGTGAGGGATGTGGAGACAGATACAGAAAGGGGAGTATAGGAGTCGGAGAGGAACAGAGAAGGCGAGGGACGGGGGGGAGGGAGACAGTGCGTCTCTCTGATTGCCTTTTTCCTCAGGAAATGCTTCTCACGGCCCCTACTGGACTTACTCTTCACCCCCTTTTTCCCCTTGCGCTCCTTCCTGTACTGTTCCTTGAGTTTGGTTATCAAGCCCTGGTCCACATCCCAGGCTTCTGTCATGGGACACAGATCTTCCTTCTCTAAACAGGGGGGGGGGACACAGATCGACAGGCTGTTCAGTCCCGTTCAGCACTGCCGAGATGAGCGTACAGAACATCCCTCCCCAAAGAGATTGCGAATTGATAGAAGAGACTAATCCCAGCTTGGCTCACATAGAGGTAACCTCTTTCGCTAGGACCGAAAAAAAAAGGACCAATGGATTTCATCAGTGGGCCAGATGGCATGCTGCACCTTCACTGTGCGAGGAAGGGACGACACCAGAACACAAGGAGCCAAACTGGCTTTGGACGCAAGGCTACAATGGCTGAGTCTTACGTGGATTTGCTGGTCAACATAGAACAAATGAAGAACAGATAACCCACAGCTTTACAAACCTGGGGAAGGACACCAATGAAAACCACTGCTGGGGGGGGGGGGAGACAATTAAGACACTACCACATATTCGGGGAATGACAGCTGAAAGCATCCATTCATAGGCTTAGTATGTCAAAGAAGTCATTATACCTTCTGCAGTGTGTGTATCATGATGAAGTGAGTGAAAGATTAACCAGTTACATTTTCCTTTTTAAATTGGGTGTTTTGTGCAGGTTTGAAGGACAGAGTGAACAGGTGCTTAGCATCTCACAGTGATAAGCCACGTTTAAGACATGCAGGCCTTTAAGATAATGCAGATGGCCAGGTCCTTGCTGCCAAGGTCGACCACACAGGTCACTGCTAAGCAGAGCTGATCTGAGCAAATGGAGGGACACGAACTGACACCTGGAATCCCCAAAAGCGAACGTGATACATTCTGCCTGGTCATAACTTCTCCTCATGCAGAAGAAATCAGCAGCTCTTCTGCACTTTGTGCTTGTTTATCGGTTTTAATGCAAAGTTTGAAGCATCAAGCTCTGTCAAAATGACATCAAAAAAGTACAAAAAAAAAAAACAGAGTAATACTCCATAAATTAATCCGTTTACGAGTGACCTTTGTCAGCATCTGACTGTGGTACGAGTTCAGGAACTGCTGGTTACGGAATATGGTTTGGGTAACAGCCATTTCAGGTGAACGCTTCAGCTTCACCACACCTGTTTGCTGTTTAAAGGTAAAAAGCTTTGGGAAATCTCAAGTGTCATCACTTCATTCTTAAACTGTGTTGGGTGGTGGGGGGGTGGTGGGGGGGGGGGCTTGGTCAAAGAAACACAGTAACTGAAACCGTGTCGATACAGCTGATTCACTATTTATATGGCATTGTTTACAATCAGGCAAAGCAATATGCTATTGGCACAGTTGAGTGGCCTTAAAATTAAAGCCTTACAGTAAACATTTAGTTGCTAGGAGGGGGTTGGCCCTACACTAGTAACCAAGGCTGTTTTACTCCAGATTATGTGACTTTTCAGTCAATAACATTGCATAACCTGAGTCACAACAGGAGAGAATTACCTAACAGACAAAAGCTGCCCAGGACTAGCCAGAGGCACGGGTGTGTTTTAGCAGAGCAAACACTGACATGCAAGGGCGGATGTGACACAGGCGTGTTTTTCCTCTCCTTTATAATTGATCTGGGTTACAGATACAAAAAAAAGCCATGATATGTACTGTAAACAGATGACAAAAAGAAAACAGAAAGGAACAGAAATAACTGGTGTATCTGGCTGTCTTTGGCCTTAATCACTGAACTAAGCTCTAAGAAAGACAAGGCGTTCATAGAAATCTGTTGGCATTGAGTCCTAGACACTGAGAGAGCCCTACGCCGTCCCCAGTCTCACCCCAGTCAGTGCCATCCCCAGCACTCCGGGAGTCTGGTGACGTGTCCATCTCCTCGGGACTGCCCAGAAAGTCAAAGCCCTTCAAGGCTTCCTCTGCATCTGGATCATCAGTGGGACAAGGTGGTGGTGCCAAGGAGGAAGATGGCTTCTTCCTTACAATCTGCATGAGAAACATCACAGTTACACTAAGTAATGCTCAGCTGGATTCTGTAAGAGGATCCCATTGGCTTCTCCACACCCTACAAAGTTCCTTACCCAAGAGAGCCTGTGTAAGGAGTCACTTTTGAGGAGTTGACAGACTGTTCAAAGCAGAAAAGGTCGTCTGCACAAAATGACTTCACAAACAGTGGCTCACCGTTGCAGAATCAATGATTGTTTTGTCCTTCCCCTCGCTGTCCTCGTCGTCGTCGTCGCTGTATTCGGCCGCTGCATTCTCAATGAACTTGAAAGCATCCAGCACGGAGGACGTGGAGTCTGCCAGATCAGATTTCCTGGCAGCATACAAAAAAATTGTAGTGAGAAAACTGAATAAGTGTGGAGGTATACAGCAAATCATGAGCCAAAGACCAATTTAAGGATGGGACCTAAGATTCCTCTGCATTCAGTTGATCTACAGTCTTGCTTCGTCTTCCTCCAGAACTTCTATTAAAGAGCATTCCTTACCCCAAGATGCCACCACCCTTGTGGGACGTTTTGGTGCCGTTGACCATCCGCTCAAGGTTCTTGCAACTGGGTTTCTCTGCATTGTCACTGGTCAGACCCAGGAGGGCTTTGACTCGCTGAGACTTGACGTCAAGGATAGCATCTGTGAATCCCACCTCCTGCAGATATCTGAATAGGACAACAAGGTCAGCTATTGGGAGGCAGCCCATCTGCATGTATGATGCATCTCAAAGATGGGCAGTTCGGTTATAATGCAGTGCAAAATTATTTCATGCTACCCAGAACAGAAATAATATCGCTCATAGGCAAAAGGGGACAATTAAACACCAGCTGTTAACATAAATGCTCTGCATCAGCTTTCTAGCCAGATGCAAAAAAAAAACACAACATGTCTCTACAGATTTTGGATTCCGAGTTTAATATGCAAAACATATGAACTCTGACATTCTCAAAATTACGCCAAGAAGTAAATCAGGTCTGGGAAAGGTTATAATAACAGCCCCGTTGCTGTTAACAAGCCAAGTCTCAGATGAGGCGTGGGAGACACGATCGCAGTGGAACCCTTCAGTGTCTAGCTAGTCTGGTCCCACAACGGAGCTCCGTTCACTCATGCTAGCACAGTTTCTCATGATAAAACTCCTGAAGCAGCTAGTGGGAGAACTAGAAGCATCTTTGAGTGCCGAGAGAGAACCAGCCAAGGTAGCCGTGGGAAGCCTTTGCTCAGAACGTCAGCAATGATGTAGCGTATTGCTGGATGGAGACATGAAAGCAACTAAAAAGATAAACCGTGGGAACAACCCAAGAAGCCCAACGCGGACCTCACCAAATTAGCACGGAAAAGGATCAAGACTAGGAGGGAAAAAGGTCCTTTAAGTACTTTTAGTACTGAGCGAATAAACCAAACCGGTGTGACAGGGACTTTTAAACAGTGATGTGCTAAAATTGGCAGAGGTGATGTGGCACGTACATGTAGGTTGTGTGTTTATTAAGCGTGTTTGTGTGTGGCTGGGTAGGGAGGTGTTGGTACTGTCAGGACCTTCAGTGTTTGCTCCACCAAGCCTGACTGATGGAGCCACTTGTCCGGAACCAGGAGGTGTTACGGAGCAGTTTTGGGGATGTTCCCCGTGATCATAAATGGTTAATCCTCCCAGGCACACGCTGGTCCCACATCTGCAGGACAAGAGGCACCGTGAAGGTGTCCATGACTGGAGATCCATTCCGGGGCCAGCTGGAGACGGGGACAATTTCCAACATGCCTCACTGAAGCGCATCAGCACAGTGTCAGGGCAACTATCCTAACCTTTCCTGGGGCTGTATTATTTCACACAGACTAATTTATGGGTCTCAGAGTTTGTCGATTGGTTCCTCAAAAAAAGACAAGAGAAAGTTACGTTTACAGTCATTGTTAACCATGCGCAAAGACCAGATCCAAGAGCTCCCCAGACCATGGCAAAGTGTCTTGCACCCAAGACCTCACCCAGCTGAGCAAATCTCAACCGCAGTTCCTAGACCACAGCTGGCAGTGGTCACCTTAATGAAGGGTAACCCAGTCCAAATAGTCCACTATTGTTGATCTGCGACTCGGGACAAGTTCCCCACTCATTATAAGAAGCACAGCAGCCATGATGCATTTCCAGCCGGTCTCGTCACACTCTGCATAATCGGCACATAGTTTAGACAATCCCTGGGTCAACATCATTCCTCCCAGAGGCACAAATCAAATTAAAGCCCGGCAGTCATCATGATACCAGCCCTTTTTCTGGCTTGACTTACACACCAATCGGCCAACCGACCGGAGCAGGAAAAACACCTACTACATACTTTCCCTCTTCCCTATGTATTGAAATGCATTTCAGTTCTCAAATAGAGAAAATATATACACAAATCTTCGTAGCCTGTTTTTTCCAGTTATACTTCAACCACTGCCCTGCAGGGGGCGCACTTTCCCCACATCCCTGTATGCCAGGTACAACTGGCTACTGACCTGTACCCTTGACAATGTGCTGACCCACACGTGGCTTGTGGGTTTTCCGCCACATATAAACAGCAGTAATTTTTATAGGCATGAGTCTGTTTTTCTGTATAATTTCACCCAACATCCCTCAGAACCAGAGCTGAATGGCTTGGGTATCTGGACAACCTGCTCAGACAGCACAAGGAACTTCTAGTTCAGGGATAAACTCCACATTTTACACCTGAACATGGTACTTGTATACAGCTTTGCACATATATATTTACATATTTAGCAGATGTTTGCATCCAAAGCAACATACACGAGGGGCAATTAGCAAATTACAAACATACATGTTGTCAAGGAGTCAATGAGGCATAAGTGCAGCTAGGCTGAGCTTCCCTTGAAAGCCCAAGTACGGGTGTAAGCAGGATTGGAGCAGGAGCGACACAATAAGTAACAAAGCAAGAACCTAATAAGACTATTTAAGGACCAGAAGTGCCACATAAAAACATTCAGGCATCAGAGGCACATAGAATTGAAATTGTATTTGAATTTGTATTTGTGCTGGCAGAAAAAAAGTACTACAAAACAAAACACAAACAACTACGCAATAAAAAAAATATAGAAGACTGGTCCAACATCCTTAGTGATAGAGAGACACAGAGAGAGAGAGAGAGAGAGAGAGGCGGGACTCACTGTCGGAGGAGCTGGCGGCCCTGTTTCCAGGAGAACTGGTTGTTGCGTGTGCCCTGGACCTCGTTCTCATTCTCACTCCCGTCATCTGCTAAGTCAGAGAGACACTATGAGCCAGCACGTCGAAAGGTGGCATCCAAACAGAAAATTACAATGCCAACCCGGGCTCATAACATTCAATCAATACTTTCAGTCACATTTAATACAGAACAGTGACCTTTTATGTTGAATGAAAACAAAAAATCATACAATTCAGGCTACAACATATTCCAGGGCAACAGATATATATGCTAGTTTTACCCCAACAATACTCTGTCCAATTCATTTTGAAGAACAATGATTCTTAACACTAGACTGAGCTTGTCTGTGCACCTCTAACAGAAAGTGGAGTATTAATTCAGATTTATAATCCATTAACTGATCGTTGGACTAATATTACTGCAAGAACAGATCTCAAAAAACACCCAATTGCCAATTATTAAAGTTGCCCATAATAACAAGGGTTGTATTTTAGACTCACAAAAATGTCACAATCCAAACAAGTCAAACATACTGAATTAAATGAAAATTCTACTTGGACAAATATCACCAATGAAAGGGAGGGAGACCCAATATCAGGTCTGCCTGTATTTTAAGAACAATGACAATTAAATAAGAGACCATGGGACTGCCAGTAGTTTTATGGCATGTGTGTGTTTCCCTGCACGAAGCAGCAGAGTGCATCATCGCTAGCGATCCCACACAGCACTTGCAATTGGAACAAGCTCTTCAGAAGAAGAGGCGAAGGCTTTGAGTGGGTTAGCATTCTCTGGTCAGTAGGGGATGTACTGGACACTGGGGGGCCAAAAGGGACAGATGTCACACACTGAGACACAAAGGCGGATTCATTGTCATCCGGTCTGGATTGTTCGTTTTCCTGGCGCCCCCTGCTGGTGCTGCTGCTCCATAACAGTTGCATTCAAGAATGTTAAACAAACACATCCCAACATCCTCTGGGACAAGAAAAGGGGGGAGGGGCTGGTGGTGGCACGTTCACCACTGTCTGACTCTGCCCCTGAATGAGTCAGAGACTGAACCTAAAACAAAGCAATATCTTTTTTTTATTGGGGCTTAGCGGAATCCTCAGAGGGATGAAAAGGACAGACAGTGCCATGTAGGCAGTCTAGAAGGCGGCTAGTTGAAGTTGCTAGGATGAGCTCAGGACAACAATACAATAAGGATCCATTATACCAGGAATACTGAGGAGCAGCGTTGGCTCAATCCAAACTACTAGCACGTGCTGGCTCGATTGCACACTGACTCACTTTGCTAGCATGTTCACCTCGCTAGCTAGCACACTCCAGCTCATTAGCATATTCACCTCGCTAGCTAGCACGCTCCAGCTCATTAGCATATTCACCTCGCTAGCTAGCACGCTCCAGCTCATTAGCATGTTCAGCTCGCTAGCTAGCACGCTCCAGCTCATTAGCATGTTCAGCTCGCTAGCTAGCACACTCCAGCTCATTAGCATATTCACCGTTGCTAGCTAGCACACTCCAGCCCATTAGCATGTTCAGCTCGCTAGCTAGCACACTCCAGCTCATTAGCATATTCACCTCGCTAGCTAGCATGCTCCAGCTCATTAGCATATCACCTCGCTAGCTAGCACGCTCCAGCTCATTAGCATATTCACCTCGCTAGCTAGCACGCTCCAGCTCATTAGCATATTCACCTCGCTAGCTAGCATGCAACAGCTCATTAGCATATTCTCCTCGCTAGCTAGCACGCTACAGCTCATTAGCATATTCACCTTGCTAGCTAGCACGCTACAGCTCATTAGCATATGAACCTTGCTAGCTAGCACGCTACAGCTCATTAGCATATTCACCTTTGTAGCACGCTCATTCTTTAGCACGCTCTGGGCACATCAGCATGGTCACTCTGCCAACACATGTTGGCCTGTTAGGATGCTCCAAAAGAGCCAAATTAAAGAAGCACTATAAGCACCTACCAGAGTTGTAACTTGGGGGCTTCAAGTCTCCTTGATTCAACTCTGTTCCATATTTCAGCTTGTGGTACTTTGCCCTGGAAATGACAGGAAATGAGGAAAAAAAAATTAGCGGGAACAAGAACCACCAAAGCCACGTGACTGCAAATCAAACCTCAGGATCAGAGCTGCATGTTCCAATTGTCCCCCAAAGACTAGAAAAAGTCTGATTGTTAAAAACAGATCTTCCAGCCAGACATTTCAAACAGACATGTCTAGTGTTTGATGCAAGACACACCAAGAGCAAACCCATATCAATGCACATACCGATAAGAATAATCTATGCTGTTGAACACTAATTATCAGTAGCAGTATAAGCAGTTGAGTTTCCAGTAACGCTGAAGTACGCTTAAGAGGAATTAAAGCTTAGACTGATGATATCAAGTGGCATGTTACGAAGACACTGGCAGCCCAGCACGACCACACACACACACACACACACACACACACACACACACACCTCAGGCACTAGTCGGCTATACTTATGCGTGCTCCACTTTCCAGTGATGCACTGTACTCCCTTAAGGATTAAAAAAACATCAAAAATATGGGACAGGTTGCTAGGCAGCCACAGATACCAACGGATGTGCTAGAGGCTGTGATGACGCTCCTCTCTCTGTATTAATGCAGATTGCCTGTCATGCCAACGCAAAAGTACCATGAAAGGTGCTTTTCTTCCTCCTGCCAATTTAGAACTCAAAGGCAATCTGGTAAGAATGCAGTGTGAAGGAAACTGGGGCAAGGCATTTATTTCACAAACACACACACACACACACACACACGTATGCAAGTATATCTAATTATGATGCCACCCCCCTAGTTTACAGCATTTTATATTTTTTTCCCCTCCATCACAACACCAAGCATCCTGCCACATACCAAAAAAGTTTTTTTTTTTCTAAACTCTCTCTTCTCATGTTTGCTGCACTACCTTTTCCCCACTAACAAACTCCTGGCTGGAAGCACATCAACAAGATGTGTGCTAACAATGCAGTAGTTGCATACAGCATGAACTACACCTCCCAGAATTCCATGTTCACAGGAAAATCATAGCGAATCCTTCAATAATGTGTCAGGGGGTGGTCGTGGTAGCCTGGAGCCTGTTTTAGACAGCACGGGCACAAGGCTGGTGTACACCCTGGATGAGATGTCGGTAATTACAGGAACTGATTCCCATAAAAAGAGAGAAAACTGCAGATTCTGAGCTGTCAGACCTCCTAAAATACAGAGCTTTAAATCACATCTTTAACTAAAGCCTAGGCGACACAGGATTGCAAAATGTGCCACTCAATGGTCAGAGACAGCATTCCAGTAAAGACAATTAGAGTGAGTCTTGATACTGTCAGTATTATCCCTATCTAAGAATTCCAATACAGTTGGCTATGAGGATAGACTATTACCCCACATCATCTTTGAGGGGAAAAGTTGCAAAGACAATAAAACAAAACAAAAACGCCTACAGCACCATTCAGGACCTGGATGGGTGTAAATAATTCTGCAGCTAGAACCTTGGATTCCATGCAGAGGCCAGTATCATCTTACGTCCCCTCAGCATGGCACAACGAGAAGTGGGCAA